CAACTACTGAGCCTGTGCTCTAGAGCCCGTGAGCCACAACTACTGAGCCCATGTGCCACAACTACTGAAACCCGTGCACCTAGAGCCTGTGCTCCACAAGATAAGCCGCTGCAATGAGAAGCCTGCACACCACAACGAAGAGTAGCCCCACTCGCTGCAACTAGAGAAAGCTCGTGCGCAGCAATGAAAACCCAGCACAGACATAAATAAATAAATAAATAAAAGTAATTTACTTTGCAGTGTGTTTTCCCCATTACACTCATATGGCAGGAATTATTGAAAATAATAGCCTAGGAACTGGGATCGTCACTGTATCAGCTAAGGGGTCTGACTGGGCTGTTGACAGTGAAGATTATTTCTGTTGAAAAGAGGAGAATTCCACACTATTTCAAAAATAAACTTATTTGATGTCTTCTATCAACTACCCCCTGCCTCTCTTTAGCCTCACATATTCCCTCCATTTCTCAAGCCTGTCTGTACATAGTTGCCTGAACATGACTTACTATTTTCACTCTGTGCTTTGCGTGTCCTTCTCCCTGCTTAGAGAAATCTATGCCCTTTCTCTTCCATGTATGCCCATCTAACCTTCCAAACCAGAAGATACCTCTTTTCACGTCTTCCCTAATAATCACATTGCAAGTGTGATCATTTATTATTTCTAGTTTCCTTATCTATTGCAGCTTTACTCTACACTATACCATATTTTCTTGCAGTTATTAAAATATTTCTTTGGATTTCATCTCAAATTGTGTGTATGCTTTAGCCTCCAGTTCGATTTTACATTTTTTGGAGAGTTCAAGAGCTGTGCCTTTTATTTCTTAACATCCAAGAATAGTACAAAGACTCACATTAACATAAAATAAATACCATACCTGTGGTACACTCCAACCAGCCTTATACGTTTGACAGTGATAACAAGAAAGATTTTATTAAACAGGTATCAAATCAATTTCAAAAGATTAAAGATGTAATATGAACATCTAATCTGTCCCTCGTGATTGTTTCATCTAAGAAGTTATTAAAACATTTCTTATGTATGTTTATAGTAATTGCCTTTATCAAATCTCAGTATAACAATTTATTAGCTAATGGATGGAAGGTTCTGTTCTAGAAAACAGCAAGGTCATCTCACTCATTACCAATTGATTCTTCAACAAATTTATTCAACATTTATTGAGCACATACTATATAGATAACATATAGGAGACACTTAAAAGGACATTAAATTTGCACTCTGAGAAACCAAGAACCACAAAGCAAAATAAAAACAAAAAAATAACACAAAAAGTTGTCAGTTTAAGTTCTGAATAAGTGAGCCATACAACGTGGTGATGAGTTAGAGGGGTGGGAGAAGAGATATAAATGAAGGAATAGTCAGCGAACTCTTCTGAAGATGTTATGATATAAATTTAGCCTCAAAGGATGGGCAAGGGAGAGACAATAGGCCCAGAGACAAGAAAGTAAATGCCATGTTTGATTGATGGTGTTTGGTCTATCTCTAGGAAAGGGTATAGAAAACCTTCTTAAACATCACAAGACACTATTATTCAACATAGTTTTGGAAGTTTTAGCCACAACAATCAGAGAAGAAAAAGAAATAAAAGGAATCCAAATCGGAAAAGAAGTAAAGCTGTCACTCTTTGCAGATGACATGTTACTATATATAGAGAATCCTAAAGATGCTACCAGTAGAGCTAATCAATGCATTTGGTAAAGTAGCAGGATACAAAATTAATGCACAGAAATCTCTTGCATTCCTATACACTATGATGAGAAATCTGAAAGAGAAATTAAGGAAACACTCCCATTTACCATTGCAACAAAAAGAATAAAATACCTAGGAATAAACCTACCTAAGGAGACAAAAGACCTGTATGCAGAAAACTATAAGGCACTGATGAAAGAAATTAAAGATGACACAAACAGATGGAGAGATATACCATATTCTTGGATTGGAAGAATCAACATTGTGGAAATGACTATACTACCCAAAGCGATCTACAGATTCAATGCAGTCCCTATCAAACTACCAATGGCATTTTTCACAGAACTAGAACAAAAAATTTCACAATTTGTATGGAAACACAAAAGACCCCGAATAGCCAAAGCAATCTTGAGAAAGAAAAATGGAGCTGGAGGAATCAGGCTCCTGGACTTAAGACTATACTACCAAGCTACAGTCATCAAGACAGTATGGTACTGGCACAAAAACAGAAATATAGATCAATGGAACAGGATAGAAAGCCCAGAGATAAACCCACGCACATATGGTCACCTTATCTTTGATAAAGGAGGCAAGAATATACAATGGAGAAAAGACAGCCTCTTCAATAAGTGGTGCTGGGAAAACTGGACAGCTACATGTGAAAGAATGAAATTAGAACACTCCCTAACACCATACACAAAAATAAACTCAAAATGGATTAAAGACCTAAATGTAAGGCCAGACACCATCAAACTCTTAGAGGAAAACATAGGCAGAACACTCTATGACATAAGTCACAGCAAGATCCTTTTTGACCCACCTCCTAGAGAAATGGAAATAAAAACAAACAAATAAGACCTAATGAAACTTCAAAGCTTTTGCACAGCAAAGGAAACCATAAACAAGATGAAAAGACAACCCTTAGAATGGGAGAAAATATTTGCAAATGAAGCAACTGACAGAATTAATCTGCAAAATTTACAAGCAGCTCATGCAGCTCAATATCCAAAAAACAAACAACCCAATCCAAAAATGGGCAGAAGACCTAAGTAGACATTTCTCCAAAGAAGATATACAGGTTGCCAACAAACACATGAAAGGATGCTCAACATCACTAATCATTAGAGAAATGCAAATCAAAACTACAATGAGGTATCACCTCACACCAGTCAGAATGGCCATCATCAAAAAATCTACAAACAATAACTGCGGGAGAGGGTGTGGAGAAAAGGGAACCCTCTTGCACTGTTGATGGGAATGTAAATTGATACAGCCACAATGGAGAACAGTATGGAGGTTCCTTAAAAAACTAAAAACAGAACCACCATACGACCCAGCAATCCCACTACTGGGCATATACCCTGAGAAAACCATAATTCAAAAAGAGTCATGTGGGCTTCCCTGGTGGCGCAGTGGTTGAGAGTCCGCCTGCCGATGCAGGGGACACGGGTTTGTGCCCCAGACCTGGAAGATCCCACATGCTGCAGAGTGGCTGGGCCTGTGAGCCATGGCTGCTGAGCCTGCGTGTCTGGAGCCTGTGCTCCGCAACGGGAGAGGCCACAACAGTGAGAGGCCCGTGTACCACAAAATAAAATAATAAATAAGTAAAATAATAAAAGAGTCATGTATCACAATGTTCATTGCAGCTCTATTTACAATAGCCAGGACGTGGAAGCAACATAAGTGTCCATCAACAGGTGAATGGGTAAAGAAGATGTGGCACATATATACAATGGAATATTACTCAGCCATAAAAAGGAACGAAATTGAGTTATTTGTAGTGAGGTGGATGGACCTAGGGTCTGTCATACAGAGTGAAGTAAGTCAGAAAGAGAAAAACAAATACCGTATGCTAACACATATATATGGAATCCAAAAAAAAAAAATGGTTCTGAAGAACCTAGGGGCAGGATAGGAATAAAGACACAGACGTAGAGAATGGGCTTGAGGACACGGGGAGGGGGAAGGGTAAGCTGGGATGAAGTGAGAGAGTGGCATGGACATATATACACTACCAAATGTAAAATAGATAGCTCGTGGGAAGCAGCCGCATAGCACAGGGAGATCAGCTCGGTGCTTTGTGACCACCTAGAGGGCTGGGATAGGGAGGGTGGGAAGGAGATGCAAGAGGGAGGGGATATGGGGATATATGTATATGTATAGCTGATTCACTTTGTTATAAAGCAGAAACTAACATACCATTGTAAAGCAATTATACTCCAATAAAGATGTTAAAAAAATAAAAATCAAAAATGAACATCACAAGACATCTTTATTATTATTGTTTTGAACAATAAATACTAATTTAGATATCTTCTTTCTGATGCTGTTTGTTCCTTCCTGCATTTCTGGGCTTCTATCTCAGATTCTTTGGACTTCTACTTGAAGAATTCTTTATACTATTTCTTTTAGCGTATATCCGCTGACTGTGAACTCTGTAGGTTCTTATTTTTATGAAGATGTCACTGTTTTACCTTAATTTTTGACGAATATTTTTTGTTAGGATTCTAAGTTTGCTGTAATCCTTTCCACTCTAAAGATGTAATATCACTGTCTTCTGGTTTCCATCATTTATTTTGGAAAAGTTAGCTGTCTGTTTTACTGTAGCTCATTTGAAGATAATGTACCTTTTTTCACTCTGGCTAATTTTAACATTTTTATATTAGCATTTAGTTTTCAGTGGTTTGACTAAGTGTGGTTTTCCTTGTATTAATCCTGCTTCAGATTCATAGAGTTTATTGATTCTGTACCTTAATGTCTTCTGTTAGTTTGGGGAAATTCTTGGCTAATATCTCTTCAAATGTGGCTCTTGCTGCATTCCTTGTCTGTGTTCCTTCTGAGACTCCAGTGATAATCATAATAATATCTTTCATCGTGTCCCATATGTCTCTTACATTCTTTTCTCTATATTCCATACTTTTTTTCTCTGTGCTTCAATCTGGATATTTTGTACTGCTCTATCTTCCCGTTCAGTAATCTCTGCTGCTAGGTCTAATACTGTTAAACCCATCCATTGGATTCTTAATTTAGTTTTTATACTTTTTAATTCTAGGATTCACAATTAATTCTTTTTTATTAATACCAGTTCTCTACTGAAATTCTCCATATTTTCATCTAATTCCTTAAACATACTAACTACATTTTTTTTTTTTACAACTGTGACTAAATAAATAATACAAGTATGTTTGTCCCCTATAGGTTTACTTCCATGGTCTGTTTTGTCTCTTGATTTTCAGTCATTTGGTCCTGTTTCCTGGCATTATTGATTTTTCTTTTTTTTTTTTTTGAATGCTAGACTTTATAAAATTTTAAGACTCTGGATGATGGTACTCTCCTCCAAAGAAGAATTCACCTTCTGGCAGTGAGATACACTTCAGGCATATCACCTTTATCCAGGTAAGACTGGCTTGCCCTAATTCAAGGGCATAGCCCTTTCAGGACCTTTACTTAAAAACCTTCTTTGTTTATCAGAGTCCTTTCTCCTTGACAGACCCTGTAATGGTTAATTTTATGTGGCAATTTGACTGGGCTAAGGGGTGCCCAAATAGCTGATAAAACATTATTTCTGGGGGTGTGTGTAAGGGTGTTTCCTGGAGACATTAGCATTTGAATCAGTAGACTGGGTAATGAAGATTGCCCTCACCAAAATGGGCAGGCATCATCCAATCTGTTGAGGGTCTGAATAGAATAAAAAAGTGGAGGAAGGGTGAATTCTCTCTCTCTCTCTCTCCTCTTCTTGAGCCAGAAGGTTCGTCCTCTCCTGCCCTCCGACATTGGTGCTTCAGGTTCTTGGGCCTTCAGATTCCAAGGCTTACACCAGTAGATCCCCACTCTCAGGCCTTCAGCCTCGGACTAGGAGTTAATCATCGGTTCCTCTGGTTGTCAGGCCTTCAGACTTGAACTAAATTATACCACCATCTTTCCTGGGTCTCCAGCTTGCAGATGGAAGATCATGGGACTTCTTGGCCTCCATAACTCCTTGAGCCAATTTCTATAATAAATCTTGGGAATTCCCTGGCAGTCCAGTGGTTAGGACTCTGCACTTCCACTGCAGAGGTCACAGGTTTGATCCCTGGTTGGGAAACTAAGATCCCACAAGCCACACAGCCAAAAAGAAAAAAAAAAGAATTGCTATAATAAATCTGTTCTTTTATCTGTCTATCTATCTATTCATCCATCCTATTGGTTCTGTTTCTCTGGAGAACCCTGACTACTACAGACTATGAACTCCAACCTTTGTCTCCCAGGACAATCTTAAAATAATACTACTAGTACTAATACTACCACCGTTATGGATAATAAAAACATTTAAACATTTTTTACTAATGTTCTGCTTCCCTGTTTTATAGCTGGACTACATCTACATTGTCGGAGCATATAGCCATTATATATCATACTCTCTCTCCTTTAACCCTCACTTGGTCTTAGTTATACCAGAAACTGTATTTAATGCTCGCCGCCAATCCTTATGTTGATGTCTCCCCAGTCATTTTGTTTGTCTGAAGCTCATTTGCCAGTATATTTCTCAGGAAAGGCTCATGGGAATAATATTTTTTGAGTTCATAGATGTTGAGTTCATAAATATCCAGTAATTTTACTAGAATTTGTCATTCTGTGTTTGTGGTATATTCTATCAGTGTATCATTTCAAATTTTTTTTTCCAGAAAGGTTTTCTAAATATAGTTTTAGTATTAGTTCTGTTCCCTTACTTTTGTTTTCTTCTTTAGGGACTTATGTCATCTGTATTTTGGATCTTCTTATCATCTATATTTTGGATCTTCTTGGTTACTCTTCAATATTTGTCACTTTCTTTCAAATCCTTTTTTGTCTCTTCATCTAAAATTTTTTAAAAACATTTTCTTCTATTTTACTGATTTCTCTTCAGGCACTACTGTTCGATTTATTTGCTCTTATTTCCTTTCTAGAATACTCTTTATTTCTTAAATTATTGTTTCTTTATTTCTTATTATTTCCTGAATCCAATCACTTCTTCTCTGAGTTCCAAATTCTTATTTCTGTTATTTCATATGTTTTGTTATTTTCTTAATGTCTTTTAGCTCATTTGGAACTACTAGGTTAACTCTCGTTATCTGTTTTGTGGGTATGTCTTTCTGGAGTGCTTTCATTGTCTGTAGGGATGTTACTCAGCTTTGTCTCCCCTTCTTTTTCTTTATAAAAACTATGCAGCCTTGATATTTTTCTGTTGCTTCTTTAATGTGAAATTAGTTTTCCTGAATTTTTGTTATAAGGTGGTGTTCAAGAAAGCTTTCCTTGGGGACATCCCTGATGGCACAGTGGTTAAGAATCTGCCTGCCAATGCAGGAGACTTGGCTTCAACCCCTGGTCAGGGAATTAAGATCCCACATGCTGTGGGGCAACTAAGCCCATGCGCCACAACTACTGAGCCTGCGTGCCACAACTACTGAAGCCTGTGGGCCTAGAGCCCATGCTCTGCAACAAGAGAAGCCACTGCAATGAGAAGCCTGTTCACAGCAACAAAGAGTAGCCCCTGCTTGCCACAGCTGGAGAAAGCCCCACACAGTAACAAAAACCCAACACAGCCAAAAATAAATAATTTTTTTTTTTATTTATAAGAAACCTTTCCTTACTTCACAGAACTTCCTCTCTTGATTTTGAGGACTGTCAAAAGATAAGGCAACTTGCTTTACAATATTACACCACTTTGGTCTGGAGCTTTTCTTTCCCTCCTCTCTTGTCCATGTCCCATTCAACTTTTATTCTACTCCAAGTAGTTTCTCTTTGGTTTGGGGTTCTGTCCTGCAAAGCAGTTGTTTTTCAGAGTTCATAGGAGCTAGGCTGCTCCAGCTTCATCAGATCTTTTTTCCCATGGGCTTTATACTGGTTTTGGTCAAACCTCTCCCAGTTTCAGCTGATGTTCTCAAATTGCCTTGGCCTCTTCTCAGTCGATACCTATTGGCTATTTTGGAGTCCTCCTGTTCTCAGATCTAGGTGCAACTTCCTTATCCTTTCTCTCACACAGACACTGATACCATGCAGATCTTGGGGCTATTGATGGTTTGTACCCTCCTACTTGTATTTTGGAGTTCGTGAGGATACTTTGTTCTTGGTTTTGTTGTAAATGTTGTTCATGGGTTTTAGGTTTTGCTATCCATTTGTTCTCTCTGTTTCTATGTAAGGATTCAGAGAGAATGAAAGTCTATGCTACTGATGCTGTCATCTTCCCAGAATCCTCTCCTGAGTTAATTCAGTTATAAGTGTATTTTGTATTACAGTTCCTGTGGGAGACTGCTCATAACTTATGGGTGTTGACATTTTGCTTCTACTTGGGTCTGGGAAGGTTAAGGGCTTTAAATCTTAGCTGTTTACGATACCACAATTAATGACCAAACATAAGGAAGCTAAAAATATGAACATAGTAAATTGTCAACTCACATGAATTTTAAAAAAAAACAAAAAAACACAACATTTATATTTAATTACAGCAGAAATATTTCTGAGGATTTGGGGATTGCTTTTAACAACAAATAAAAGAAACCATTTGTGTATATATACTCAGAATTAACACAATGCAGCTTTCTTTTATGGGGTACATATGCATAAATAACTTGCATAAAAGCTCCATAGGAAATAATATATTTGCATATATTGTTGTGAATTGTATTTAAATTTTATTACTCTCGTAGTTAGGAAATTGTAACAACTGGCAAAAAAAATTGATTTTCAGTAGGCAGGCAGTCAATCGATACTATCATTAGCTCTAAACAGAGTCTAGCATATGGACCTTTAGAACTAAAAAAAGTCCCAAGTGGTCATCTTGCCCAGACCACAGCCTCAAGAATCTTTCCAACGCAACATGTTTGAGTACAAACAATTTTTCTTTTATTGAAGTATAGTTGATTTACAATGTTGTGTTATTTTCAGGTGTACAGCAAAGTGATTCAGTTTTATATATATTCTTTTTCATATTCTTTTCCATTACAGGTTATTACAAGATATTGAATATAGTTCCCTGTGCTATACAGTAAGGCCCTTGTTGTTTATCTATTTTATATATAGTAGTATATATCTGTTCATCCCAAACACCTAATTTATCCCTTTCTCCCTCCACCTTACCCCTTTGGTAACCATGAGTTTGTTTTCTATATCTAGTACAGACAGTTTTTAACTATTAACAATATCTGTAAGAAATAGGTTTTTGGTTTTGCTATCTAGTTTTTCTACCAGATGAACTAAGGTGTTCTGACAACAAGCATAACCAACAGAAACAATACCTAAGCATGACTTCAAAAAATTATGATAGAGCTATAGTAGCTAGGAAACAGCAGCACAGATAGTGCAGTGAAAAGGAATAGTTGAATAGCCAGGGGTAACTCTAGGGCCATGTTATGATGCTATGCAAGTGGCATTGCACATGGTTGCCATAGCTACAGAGCTGCACAAGCTATAGACACGCAGACCCTGTGTACCCACCCACTCTGCTGCCACTGCTTTCCACACCTGCCCCTCTGAGTTTTCTACAGCTCCAGCGTAAGGAGAAAAAGGCCATATGGCTTAAATCAAAATATTTTTTTCACTTCTAAAAATCAGAATACCAGAGATTCAGAGCAGAAGGCAAGGAAGCATTGGAAAACACTTCTTTCCCAAGGGTCAGGAGGTTTCAGAACATCCATTCCAGGAGGAAAGGCTGGTGACCTTTAGTCACCCACCTCCATGTCTACTTTCGTGTTCCTTTTTACCCTCTCTATTCTTCTCCTGGCAACACAGATCCTGTCTCTCGCTGCCTTCCCCACCCCCAACTCCCTGTCTTGACAGCAGCACCAGGGAGAGTTATAATATTATTCGAAGGAATATATGTGGGTTAAAGTGTTAGAGTAGGGATTAGATATTTTGGTAGTCTGTTTTCTTCCACAGGGATTAAAGAAATTACTTTGGATGCCACTGACAGCTTTAAAGCAAAATCAGGATAAGCTAAAGGAAAAAAATGGTTGTTGGGGGTAGATATTGGGGAGAAAAAACAAAGAACAGAAAAGAGAAGCATCTTGGGTATAATTAGGGAGGTCCCTAGGTATCACCCTGAATTTGGGGGTGGAGAGGTGGGCAATGAGAAACACATGTTGGGGAGGGTGCCCAGGGGGGCATTTAATTTCCCTGGTGTACTATTCCTGGTGAAATAACTTGTACTTGGTCAACTGGGGGACTTACTTCTTCACATTCATGAATATCATAATGCAAATCAAATGGTTGAGGTACTTTCTGAACCTAGGGATTTCACATGAAGTCTCTGGACCCTTTACGCACACATTCTTTCTCTGCTCATCCCATATAAGCCAATCCTGTCCTAAATATATTAAAATGGTGTGGCAGAGAAGAAAGATGGCTTTGCTGTTTGCATTAGTTTCCTAGTTAGTTGCCAT